GGGGGGGGGGGGGGGGGGGGGGGGGGCAGCGGGGAGGTCCTATAATGAGATTCATCTCTTTGACTCTGTCTCTCTACGGCTGCCAATAAACTTAATACGTTAAATATATCCTGCCTGACACATACACCTCTCGCTCTCTCTCTGTCTCTCTCTCTCTCTCTCTCTCTCCCTCACACACACACACACTAATCAAAAAAAACAATTATGTGGGGACGTGAGCGTACTTATATGCGGTGCAGCCTCATGCATGTGCAGCATGTGGGGTCCCCACTTGTTAACCCAGACGCGGGCATGACGTGTGCACAACAGCGGACATGAACGCAGGCCCGATGGCACTGTCATGTGTGCTGTGTTGGCATGTGCACACAAGAAACAGCGCCCCCTCCCGCCCCCCTCTTTACCCACTGACCATCTTCCCTCAAACCTTCACCTACATGAACACACGTGATGGTTCACTTAGCCTCCTGGCAGTTGACTTGAAGAGTCATTTGCATATCACTGCATTGCACACCAAGTCCCATTACCGGTAGAGACCAATGCGGTGTCTTTATGTGTTTGTGTAGGTTGACAGATGAACCAGCGAGGGATTCAAATGCACGTAGGGGTTTATTGGGTCCCTGGTGCACCATTGTGTCACGTCAGGACACTGGGTGAGGGGGGGGGGGGGGGGATTTGCACATCTACCTTAACACAGAAACACACCAGGATAGAGAGAGGACAAAACTTGCATGTCCCACCTTTTCATCTGCATGTGTGAGATTTGTCTCTCCCGTGACTGATCTGCAAAGACAGTTGCAACGTACGGCTTTGGCTAGTTAAGAAAAAAAAAAAAAAAAAAAAATCAGAAACATATAGCGGAGGACAGTGGATGTGGTAATGGTTTGTCCTTTTCTTTAAATGTCCTCCCGTTTCTCCTCCCCTGCTGCCTTTTATCGCCCTCTTCCTCTCCTGTGTCCCCCCACATTCTCCTGATGCCACGCCAAGACAGGTTAATCTTAGTGTCATTCAAAGTTGAGAGACAGCAGTCGGCAACAGCAGGGAATCAAGCAGCCACCGTTATTTTGGCTATCTTTCTGTTTTAACTACATCGAATGTTAATCTGTTCATTCAGAAATCTTGGTTTTCAAATTGTTTTTTTTTGGTTGACTCAATGTCACCCCCCACCTTCTCTCATCATTCTCTCTGTGTATGAAAGACAACATTAAAGAGTACTTTTCTTTTTTTAAAGCCCACTTCACTCTAACCCACTCACCTTCATCCTTTCTTTTTCTGTCTGTGCCTGTTCAGTGAGTTCCTCAAATTTTTTTTTTTTTTACCAGATTTTTTTTTTTTTTTTTTGAGGGAGATTCGTCCCGTCCCTGCTGACGGCTTTCATGTTGTTTCAAACCCCAACATCTCTGTGACTGCCTTCCAGTTGGCTGCGTGGGTTCTTTTTGATTTTCTCCTCTTCCTCTTCCTCATCGTCATCATCACCTCTTACGTTCTGTCTTGTCCACGTCCAGCAATGACATGCAAATGGGGGTACATTTCCTTTCATTTGTAGTCGTGTCTTTCTCGCGTGTGTCTATGTGTGTGTGTGTGTGTGCGTGTCAGGCAGAGGAAGAACAAGGATGAATTAGGAGACAAATGACTTTTTGTGACAAAGCTAATGAAGATCTTGACATTTTCTCTTCCTCCCTCCTCCCTTCCTTTTTTCTCTAATCCCACATATCTTTATGTCCGACTTACTTCTTGTCTTTTCTCTCTCCCTTTCTCCTCACCCCATCTTGCCCCTTACCTCTCTCCAGGCGGCTTGTTCATAAGGAATACAGATCAAGAATATACAGCCTTTCGACTTGCCATCTTCCTTCACAACACCAGCCCTAATGCGACGGAGGCTCCCTTCAACTTGGTGCCGCATGTGGACAACATAGAGACGGCCAACAGCTTTGCTGTCACCAATGCATGTAAGTTGTACAACTGTGCGTGACAACTGTGAAGCCTAAACAAATATGTGCCGACGTCGCTGACTTCCTCCTCGCTCAGTAACGCCTGATCCTTCACTCACTTCATGTTGGTGAATAAAACGGGCCTCAAATAATGGGATACACTGCAGTGGATGAAGGTTTCTGTAGATTTCTGATTAGAAGAAAGTAGAGTTTGAAAAGAAAAATAGTTTGTGTTGGTGTATAGTTGATTTCTCGGACAATTACTGACCTGTGATTCTAGGAAAAGTATCTTCCAGGTTGTTGCACGAAAAGCATATCCTCTGAGCCTGACACACTTATTTTAGTCTTAACTGCGATACCAGCGACACTGCTGAGAAACTCAAAGCTTACTCCTAACTGTGCAGTGACCACAGCTCACATTCCGTTCCGTTCATATCAGCCTGCAAATTATGGGGCTTTTTTTTTTTTTTGTGGTGTGTAAAATGTATTTGCGTAGCGCAATTAAAACAAGCACTGTTATGCTACACAAACCAGTAATCAAATAATGATTGTTGTAAGAGACAGACAACCCACCACCCCCTCGGCCCCACCCCCGCTGAGACCAAATAGACGGCTCTCACAACACACCTCTGAATGGTCATGCACTTGTACTTTGAACATAGACTGGTTTTTAATGTGCACATAATTGTTCTAGGTTATATAGTGTATATTTATAGTACTTATAGTATATGTATAAATATATATACAAATACATTGTATTTATTTATATATATATACGTATATACACACATATATGTATGTATATATTTATACATATATACACATATGTATGTATATGTATGTATTTATATCTATTTATATATATATTTAAAAAAAAAAAAAAATATATATATATATTCACATACTATCATTATATACGGTGTATCTACTGCAACTGTAGAGTCGGCCCAAAATGTAGTCTTCATCACTCAGAGAAATGACAATAAAGTTGAGTTGATAACTAAAGGTAAAATAAATGATAAAAGAATACATTTACATTGTAAAACAATTTAAAAAAAAAGTGTTTCAAACTGAGTTTGAAAACCCTTACATTTAAGCTAAGTTTGTTCCCGAGTCTTTCTGCGCTTTTTTTGGGGTTGAAAACAAACAAACAAACAAACAAACAAGAAACATGCTAATATCTACCTAAAACATTTACACAGTCTCTGATATATACTGATAAACCAATATATATACACATTTTCACATATTTTTTTAATTATTATTTGATGGGGTTTTTTTTTTTGGATCCAGTTGCGGGCCTGATTAGACAATTTTGTGGACTGAAATTGGCCCGCAGGCTGCCAGTTGATGATCACAGCTATATGCTATAGCATGGCAACAAATACAATGTAAAACAATTTTTTTTTTGATCATGTAATCATAATATCTTTTGTTTATGCTGTGAAACGCTACACTACACACTATGCTGTGGTGTGTCCATGGTCGGTATAATCAGACTGTATTTTCCTTATGGTTGTTTTCCCGTTGGCTGTTGAAGGATGTATGTAGAGATGTGGCATTTGGCCAGCACTGTATCGAAGCTCAATGCTTAGCTCTCTCTCTTCTCCGGGAGCCTCATGTGTCCTTAGTCAAACTTTCTGCCTTTGGTCGTTTTGATGCTGTCTTACGTGTTTGTGTAACGTTGACTGAGTGACACTGATGAAGGCTACGCTAACGTGAATGCCTGTAATGTGACTCTCTTTATCTCTGATGAGTGCTGCGAGTGTTTCCTCCGGTGTGTTATTCTATGAGACGGTAATGGTGTCGACAGGACAATTCTACGGCTCATCTGTGTCCCAGCGAGACGACGGTGCAATAATAATTTAATTCACCTGTTTTTTATAAATATTATGTACAGCGCAGCAGCCGCTTTATGAGGGAATCACTTGTTTGTAAAAGTTGTAATGGAGATATGTTAGTGTGCAGTGTGCTCAGACTACTATGGCACACGGTGATATTAGGTACAAAGAGTATTTGATCATACATCTGCAGTACTAGCACTGCAGTAACTTTCTTCTACTGTAGGAACCGTACATTTAAGACATCTGATAACAAATCTCAAATACACCAGCGCACCAAAACCAACACCAGAACTAGTACTTTCGTCAAACCCAATACCTTATTCAAATACTCCCAGTCCATTGTCCCTCGGACTCAACAGCTGTTCGCCGTAACCAGCTGTGTGCCAGTCAGCCACAACTGTTGTGTGTCTTCCTACTTGGTTCAGTGTTTCCTTTCCCTCGTGGGAAGCTAAATTGAGTATCTAACCAGTTTCAGCGACCAATTTAATGAAACATCTGGGAACGTCCCTTTTAGAGAGAAAGCTCATTTCTCTTCTCGTTTTATCAGCATGGCGGATAAATCCCAGCGATGGCAAACGCGTGTCACCCTACCGCCCGCAAACCTGTGCCACCTAGTGTATATAGCACATGATTCCAGGCCAATCCTTGTTTTTTAACACCCGAGTTAAAGAGGTATCACAAATGAAATTCAGGAGTGACCCGACAACACTTGTAAATGTCACCCTAGTCCAGTGGTTCTCAATTATTTTCTGACATGCCCACCCCTCCCCCCCTTGGGGACAGAACCCCCTCGGGAGGGACTGAAGCACTGCTCAAGTCTGACACACTTTTGACATCTGGATTTTCATCATCTCTTTACTAAAAAAAAAAGATTGTTTCTTTTGAAAAATCAATGAGGACGTCATGAGTTCATGGAAGGCAATTTTACGGAATCCCTCGTAGCCACATTCAGAGGTTTGTGCGATCATGGATGTCGTGGAATAGGTTTGTTACCACTCAACGTGAATGGGTTATCGGTGATTTCCAAGTAAATAGTCCATTTGCGTCCTACCTTTTTTTAAAATGCCATCCTCGACGCTGCATCTACAAAAATAAAGAGATGCACGTCGTCAGACTCTCTTATGATCCGGAAGGCTTACCACTGAAGAATATTGTCTATATCGTCCTCCTTGGATTTACCAGCTTCAACTCGATACAGCGGTATAGCCTAAGCAGGGAAGTCCATGTCCGCCCCCACCTCCTCACCCCAGCCCCCCCACAGGCGCTTCCTCCGTCAACAACGGTCAGCTGGGAGATGTTTCAGTTAAACTGCTGTTTAACTGTCTCACCTCACTGTCAGCCGCAGTGCTGTGGAAGCCCACCTCTGGGTCAAACCGCTTTGACTCCCCTTCAAAATAAATGTTAGTGGAAATAAGGAGCTCCCCAGAGTATTTTGAACGGCTTAAGTCAGCAGCTTCCTTGCCTACATCTTAATATAGTTTGTTTTGTCCCTGCTGAGACGCCAGACAGTTTGCTCATATCGGAACGCTGCAGACCAAATGTCTTCTGCAACACGTGGAACACGCCCCCCAGTCTTCAGCCTCTCCGAAACGTGATTTCGTGAGCCATCTTTGGAGTTCATATTCTTTCATTCTTTTCATACTTGCGTCAGCGATCTGCAGCGCTGAGAACGCGACTAACCACCAGATGCAGAATAGGACGTGACCTGATATTGCCTCTGTTTGATATTAATGGTACATGGAAACCATTAGAAGTTCCAGTACCCATTGAAATTCCTCCCTTGTTGCCTTTATTTCCTCAGACTTTGTCCTCTTATCCCCTTCTCCTGTCCATTGACATGTTTCACTGTCCATCCTTCCCTCACAGTCATGGGCAATGAATCTCCAACTTAATCCCTGACTATTGCTCCAGGTGCTGAGCATCACACTAAATTAGAATAGGGAATTCTGCCTCTGACCTTGGCTGTCTGTTCAGGTATTCAGAACTCTAAAACGGATCATAAAAATCCCCGGTCCCCACAGTTTTTCTCTATTCACTGTGGAATAGAACCCTTTCTTCTCTCAGGGTCGTACAATTTTTCATCCTTTGCTGCTGTTCAACTTCTTTTTTTTTTTTTTTTTTTAGTGCCGTCCTGTTTAAATTAAATGCAAACCTTTCTCTGCTGTTTTTAATATGTATATTAATGCATAGTTTTGTACCAGTGCATGTATTCACCCCCTGGGAGAAAATGATCATCAGTCATGACACCCTAACGCTATAGAGATATGGGTGTCGCTGTGAGTGGGTGAACGGGTATGAGCATTCATTTCCATGCTAAATGTATATGTGCACACAGCTGTGTCTCACTGGGGTGTAAATGAATGTGTCCGTGGACAGAGACCATGAAGTGATGAAGACAGACAGAGAGAAAGAGCAGGTGTAAAGGGACAAATAAGAGGACAGGAGCATAACAAAAAAAGGTGGTTGTGTCTCATTCGTGGTGCCAGATTGATGAGACATGGTCTTGATCGTGTCCCTCCACTGCTGTAAATACCGCTCTGATGACTTGAATGATTGTCAAACCTGACATTCTTTAGTTTTGTCTTTATGATATTCATAGATAAAAATCTGAAATCTATTTCTATCTGGTCTAGCTGAGACCAGTTTTAAGTCTAGTTTAGTCTAGTCTAGTCTCAGACTAGTCCTTACTAGTCTGATCTGATCGATTCTATTCCATAACTTTCATGTCGGAGCTGGTTTTCTCTAGTCTGGTCTAGTCTGTGTTGTCTCTCTAGTCTCGCCGAGTTGTGTCAAGTCTAGTCCATTCTAGTTCCATTTCAGGTCTGGTCTAGTTAAGTCTATTTCATTCCAATTCTTTCAGGTCTGTTTGGATAAGATCAGGGCTGGCCTACTGTAATTTGATCTGACCAGGCCTCCTATGGTGTGTCTAGTCTAACAAATTCAAGTGTAAGTTGTTCTAGTCTAGTCAAGTCATTTCACATCTGGTTTGGTCCGGTCTAGTTTCCTCTGAGCAGGACAAGTCTGCTCTAGTCTAGCTGAGTCCTCCTATCCAAACCAAGTCTGATCTCGTCAATTCCATTCCTTTCAGGACTAGTCTGGTCCTGTCAGAGCTGCTGTAGTCTGGGTTAGTCTGGTCTGGTCTGGTCTTGTCTAGCTGAGTGTATTCTAGTCCAT